AAAAGAAGAAGTCAAACCCACAAAACTAGTACCATGTATGTTGTAAAATGTAGTATAACGTTGGACGTAGTCTCTCTTATGTCATTGTATTTTCTTTTTTCATACATGCTGTTTGTACTTGCATTTACTTGCATTTCTCATGCATGTATTTGCAATAAACCTTCTTATTACATGATTTTGGGTAGGCTAACTTTAGTATTTTTATGTCTGCAAAGTTTCTTTGTTTGTATGCAATACATGGGGGCCTAGTGAGAATTTATAATGTTTAGATACACGATTTATTTCGATAATCACACAAACAGACCACCGAAGTTTTATCATTACATGATCACAAGACAGAGCATCGCTACGTTATTAAAATTTGTAACACTACAGTTTATCAAGACCAGTGAATTATGTTCCCAAACATCGGGGGGGGGGGGGGGCACTTACCACAAACCGCGTACGCATAAGTATTACTATAACGCTTTTTTCTATATATGATATGATATGCATGTGACCATACGTGGTCTAGAGCATGTAAGACATGATTATGAGTACAGAACAGTTCAACACTAACAATACTACATTCTAACGCTAAATACTAAAATTCTATCCATCTATAACACTGTGTACTACTGTGTTCATCTACTAATAGCCATTATTTCTTCTCTCTTCTTGAAATACATAGTAACATACCTACATAGTTTAGCTACTATATGTTCATTCTTGCATGACATTAGGTATGTGAAAGTGTACTGCTTTGACATTTTCTTGTATTTCTTGTCTAATTCTAATGTCTTAAATAGCGATTGGCGCTCGTCTTCATATAGGGTACACTCAAGTAAGAAATGTGTCTCGTTTTCATCAAATAGATTACCACAGAATTTGAGTGTTCTTTCTTTTATAGGGGTACAGCTATGACTGCCAGATTCTATATCCACATAGAAAAAGGCAGACACAACCGCATCCCTCTAGAGCAAAGGATTTGCCAATTTTGCGATTTAGATAAGATTGAGGATGAGTATCATTTTGTAGTCGATTGTACGTCATATAGTAATGAGAGAGATTCCCTATATTCTTATATACTAGATAAGTTACCCAGCTTTGGACATTTAAATGAAGTAGAAAAATTCAGATTTCTTATGAAACTTGACAAATCATGTATTATTGGTTCCATATGCTCGTACATCTATAACTGCGTCAAGAAGCGAGAAGAAGTTGAACATGTAAATATTAACAGTAGACCACATTAGCATGTATAGTTTAAGTGCAATTGCTGTATCCTTTTCCTTGTCTATCCATGACCTGTACTTAGCTTGTTAGAGCACAAATGTACAATAAAGGTCTTTCATTCATTCATATATAACGCTATATAACAACTACTAGTATCACCCTTGCTTGCTCCCTATTCTGCACACATTTGGTCAGATAACCACATCGTTCTGTTTATCACTAACATTTAATCCTCACAATCTGTTCTCGGCGCCAGGGTCTGTCAGAATTTTACGGTTCGGCTGTTCCAACCGGCCATTAATTAACATACAATGGTATTTGATGTGACAGTAAGGTAATAAAAGTTAATAAGATAATCCTTCAAATCAGCGCCGGGAGAGGCGAGACGCTGCGTGGTTCCATTTCACGGGCCATTATGTCTGGATTACATTTGTGGCATTAGTCATTGTAAAAAAGGTAGAAATTCTATTCTTGTTGTGTGGGAGACAAACGAGGGAGCAAAACGCTCTCTGGAGGTTTTAGAGCGGCGCTGCACATTGGTACATATATCTACCCAGCAAAATAGGTGTCAAGTAGAGTAGCAAAAAAACGTGTGTCGCTGTACCAGGTGTCATTGTGATGTCAATCGGTCACTCAGAGCTTGTCTGTATCTGTATCAGTATAGCCGGTATAACCGCCCTTCGGCGTAACACACCAGCTTCGCAGGCACGCGGCGCGGCGGCAGCTAGCTATATCACACCGAACGACTTGTTACACTCAATCTTTGCACATTTAATTGCAGGAGTTGTTTAAAGCTTTCAAGCGATGATGCCCCTACTGTGCGTGGTGGCAACGAGTTCCAGTCTACGATAGTTCTGGGGGAAATACGAGTTTTTGAACACCTCAATTCTTGGTTGATAACTCTGACATTTGAAGGAATGACTGTTTCTCGTTCTTTTCTGGGCTGGTATCAGATACTGAGTGGTTGGTACGTCCACCAGTTTATTAGTCATTTTGTACATCATGTACAGTCTGGACACTCGACTCTTCACAGAAAGGAGTCGCACAGTTCAGATTGGTCTGAAATTTAATTTGCGCAGCATATCACGTATACTGTAATATTTACTGACATCGCAATAAGTTAATTCGCCCTCGATAACATTCCTTGAGACACCGCAGGAATGATTGCTTTTCGTTTTTATTTCTTTTCTTAGCACATGGTGGTTTGTAGGAGCGGAAAACAGGGTCATAAAATGAAAGACAAGGACGTTGTCCATCTGTTTATACATCGTGGGTAGCGTTTTTGTGAGTTATACGACATCGCTAGTTTGTTAGTCGACTCCTAAACTGTTGTTGTTAAAGATATCCAGTGTAGTTTTAAGGGCTTGCAAACCGATTTTTTTCAAACCAATATTCTAGTCATTTATCTACATACTGAGTTGAAACCACACTATCCCAATGTATATTGACCCTCAAGGAGCAAGAAGTTCCCCAAATTCTGACGGAAAACGGTTACTGGAAGGGCCCTGGGCTGATTTTTAGGGTGCCTCCCAGAAAATAAAGGACTCATCTTTGGACTTGTTTCTGCAGTTTTAATAGCCCAAAGTATGAAATACTGACTTCAAAATGCTAATGTAAAGCAGTATGTGTCAACATCATAAAGATTGCCTTATTCAGAATATTTCCAATTTTGCTGCCCCACAATCGCATTGGATGCCTTTAATGGACCGTATTAAAGGAAGATAGGAGATTCTTTATTGACACAACAAGATATAGTTAAATGGTTTGTAGAAAAGGTTAAAAACAGGGATCTGGCATTAATTAACTAACAACATGAGACAAATCAAGTGTCGTAGGCAGCGGCTACACTGAAATAGCCGGAAAAAAAATTGACAAGATCGCGGGATGTGTCATTAATTTTTTTGGAAAATGTATTCAAATTAGGAAATCTACTCCTGCCTTTACAGAATTTTAGGCAAAGCCAACGTGTCGAAAATAAATGGTTGGATCCTAACCCTCTCTTCGCGTTACAAGCAAGGTTGGTGTACAATTCTCACATACAACCGTTTTCAACTTTGCAGATATAGGGTAGAACGATCACAATTTGAATCTCGATGACGTTGAAACGGTTTTTGAATTTTGATTCAAATATCAAAGCTACAGCAAGCGTTCAGAATACAAAGGAGCTACGTACGTTTGTTGTTCAAAGTCTAGTTGTGCCACGCGAATTCTAAATCCAGTGCAACAACAAGTCTATGATAGTATGAGCGTTCTCTTTAGATGGGGCAATGCAACACATAGGTAGATACATAAAAAATTGCTTTGTTATCAGAAAAGATACTGAAACCTACGACTAGCACCATCTGGTTTTAACAAGGTATTGCAGATTTACCTATGTTGGCCCTTACGGTTTATCAAGTAGGAGTTTCAAGATTTAATTTGTATTTCTATTTCATGGAGATAGATCTTACGAAAATCGGTGTACTTTTGTTCTATTTTATTTGTCAGCTTTTCTTTTGTTTGTACCAGGCCACAAAAGCCACAAAGTCCAAACCAAACATCTGCTTGGAGAGTAAACTCTTTGAAGTGTTCTAATATTTCCCCAGGTTTTTCACATCTCAACCAACAACAAAAGACTGTATCACTGCTAAAGTCTCCTGAGCCATTTATTTTTCAAAGAGTCGGACAATTCATCTCCCACTGCCTCCTGAGAAGAAGTCAAACCCCCAATAGCTTGGTTGGAATAGTATAATAGAATAGCAATTACCATGTTTCTCTTATGTATTGCAATATCCACTCTTTATCCTGTATACCAACGTTACTACTACATGTAGTTTTAATAAGTAGAGATAGTTGAAGTTAGATAACCTACGGTAGATCGTAGAACTTCATGTTAACATATGGTTTTATATCACTACTTTCTGTATTCTGTACTAATTGTTCTTGTCAGTGTCTGTTTGAAATTAGCCCTCGGGCATGAACTTGCAATAAAGAACTCAATTGACCGATCTAATATATTCATTATCCACTGCCTTCAAAGAAGAAGTCGAACCCCATAATAGCTAGCGTAGTAGTAGAAGTAGAAGTATTTTTCCAGACAGTTGTTACCTGTCTCCTGTTACTGTATTGCAATGTGTATTATTCTTGATTGTAAAAGCAATTAGCCTTCGGGCATGATTTTGCGAATAAAGTTTCTAATATAACCAAGACTTTTGAGTGTTTAAAAAAAGACCACTGAAATGTAACAAACATCCCATGTATCCCTCCTGAGGTTAGAACGTGTAGTGATGATGACCTCTATTAAAAGAGCACGAAGGCCGCAGGTGACGGCAGCTTCCGTCCGCAGCCTCTAGTGGCTGACAAGACAAACACACCCTGCACCTGTTCAAGCTAACCAACTTTACACAGTAAGCAATTGGAATATAGGCAATGCGGGCAGGTATGCCAGTAGTGACAACAACGTCTATAAAAACAGGGTCGCGGCTCTTCCCTTGCGGACAGTTCAACAAAAACCCCACATACCACAACACCACCCTTTTGTGTATTCTGAAATTATAAATCTAGAATAGATATTATCATACGTACGCGAATTGGTTATGAGTGAAAATGAAATAAAAGAATAACACAGTAGCGTTTTACTCTTGGAAGAATGTAAATCCGCGCACGCGAATGTGAAACTTTTAAGCTGAGAGCTTTTCTGTGGTTGTTACCGTGACGAGGTTTTAGGCACAAGCGGTGAGCTCAGAAACAAGGATGTTGGTCAGCATTTTTTTCCACTTCACTATATATATCAGTGGTGAACTTACCTGGATAGTAGACTTGTATTCCCAGACTTTAGTAGTACAGGCGGAGCAAAGTCTTTCACAATCGTCAGGTGGGTTTGAGTGTGAGAAAGCCAAACGGCTAGGAGTTCCAAGCGAGGACACGGTCTGTGCACAAGACAATGTCGTGTAAGAAAATGATAGCAATTCGGCCCCGCTAGCCACATTTATATATCAGGTAGTTTGTGCTTGCTTGTTTTGCGAGGCCGGTAAGTACGGTTTTACCCCTGTCTCCGCGAAACCAAATATTTGGGCTCGGAATACAATGGCCTGACATGGCGGGGTTAGACTGGTAAATCCGCGAGAGATCCACGCGGAAGAATGGGCGGCTTCAGCGCGCGTGGAGCCCGCCCAGCGGGGCGGTGTTTGGCCAAAGGATCGTCCCCTCACCCTCAGTACATTCAAAATAGACTCTGTCAACTCTGTAACATGAATAGAATAGAAGATGAACAACACTTTATTTTAGACTGTACCTTATATGCTAATGAAAGATCTGTCCTTTTTAATCATATCAAAGAGAAGTTCCCATACTTCGAACACCTAAGTGCTAATGATAGATTTATATTTCTGATGCGTCTAGACAAACCCTGTATCATAACCATGATCTGTTCCCACATTTTCCATTGTACGAAAAAGCGAGAAGAAGTTGAACACTCTGTATTAGATCAGTAACTAGAACACTTTGTATTAGCTTAGTATAGTATCCTTGTATGTTCCTTATGTATGTTTTCTACACACGTTTGTTATGTGTCTGTTAAGTCTTGACCTGTACCTAGCCCGTCGTGGCATGAATGTACAATAAAGGTATTTCAATTTCAATTCAAAATCACCAATTAGAGGTAGAACAACAACAGAGACACAACAAAAAAGTACAGGGACTTTTTTGTATGGTCTTCTACAACTAAAGATGTAACAAAGCTAAATACATGTATGGATAACGTCATCTTACGTACAGAGTATATGTATGATGTAACAATAAAGGTTTAACTATTCTTTTACATGTGGTCTCTAAGATCGAAACATTCAGACGAAACAAGAAAATTCGTAGACAAGCACAGTAACAAACCGGTATAGCTTCCTCCTATTCTGTAAACTATTTCGTTTAGTGTTACCAACTTTTACCAGTTTTTTTAATCTTCCAGATCTCCTCCTAATAAATTGGTTAAATAGACAATATCGATAAGAGTGATAAACCCTATTATTGTAGAGAAGTGACCCATGGTTTTGGGGGTTGAAGCTGGATTAATAGACGGTCTTGACCCATTGTTTCCCCACGCTCAAAAGCAACAAATTTGCCGGACACGCCGCGACCCCACGCTGACCAGTATATACTTTGTCCGGATCAGTTCTAACGGTCAAACAAGGTTGCACTAAGCCACATAAATTGGCGAGTTCCCTCGAGAAAGTTGGAATAATTTTTCTGCGGATGACTGCATTGTCCTTTCTGCGAACGTCACATAATGTTCGGAGATGTATTCGAAAACACGTTATCCTTTTCGTGCTAATAAAATCACAGAATACCAGGTCCTTGCCAGAATACTGAGCAGATCTAGAGCGGTGCATTTAGCATTCGTATTACGAATGGACTTAGTGTACATGGGAAACATTCAACTCAATGCTAGAACAAAACGAATCTTTCAAAATGATGGCATTTCTGTGTATATACATCTACAAGAGTCTTGCGAACTGAAATATATTAAGAAAAAAAAAACAACTTGCACAACTTGAACTCCAACTAACGCAGCTATACGTGTGATTCTATGATCCACATACACACAATGTATTCAACCTAATTTCAAAAACATTTTCAAAAGGCAATTTTATTGATCTTACATCGATCGAATTGAACTTGTAGTAAGTATCACTTCTTCTATCCCTACCGGGTCCAATACTAAATTCGCGGTGCGGTTAAAAGTTCCTGTATTTGTATTTGAACTTTACATTTAAAATGCTGCTCCCTTCTTGAATGAAGTTGAAATAAAGAACTTGGCGTGTCCTGTGTGGATATACATGTACTTCGTGTTGAGTTCAGATATGAATCCATTGATATGCCTGTTTGTCTGTTTGTTTGTTTGTTCGTTTGTTTGTTTGCTTGTTTGTATGTTTAATACGTGATTTTAGATTCAAATCTAGACACAGTTCGTCCACGGTTCAAACAAAACTGGAGACAACTGACACTTCGGAACCTCGATTTCTATCCTGTAGAAAAATCATGATAAAATCTGACTACATGTTCAGTCAAGCGTGCTATTGAAAGTGTACAAAAGTTGTGAACTCTGTACTCTACACTCGGCCATGTTCAGTGATGAATCGGTCTCGGTAACGTCAGACTCACCGTGTAATTCTTCTCCGAGTGGCGGAAAATCGATGCCGTGCAGTTGTCTTAACCACGCCGTGACCAGGTAAACAAAACTAGGACACCTGCCCCCCTCCCACACATCACATGTACTACACGTAATACCAGCACGTCGGCAGAACGTACTGCGCCTAGTGCGTCCTTACCTTAGTTCCTCCTGCAACTAGTTGCATCTGTCGACTTGCAGACTTATAACAGTACTCATCCATAGGTTTCTGTTTTGTGCCGCAGCAGCCATGGATTCCGTGTTGCCATGATCCCAGTTTCTTCCCATCATTCTGAATTGTATAGTGCCTAGTGCGTATACGCGTAAGAACCTGATTTTTCACGGTTTTCGTTGGATGTTTGGTCAACGTTGCGTCATAATTTTGCCTGTTGCAGACGATATCTTTTCCAACATAGCATTAGGAAACTACAGACAGGATGTTAACCTTATATGCGCTAATACGACATTATACGAGACGTTCTGCCGAAGTGCTCGTACATTGTAATATACGCACTTTGCATGTGAAAGTCTGTTCCTCAAAAATCTACATGTGACTGACTCGTTGAAATACTTAAAGTTAATTATAACCTGATTAGCCAATAAACAGCTGAAATTGTACTGATAATGATATGAACGGTATGAACGTTTAGAGAAAATGCAATAGTCAAGAACATGGTACATATCTAATAACACACGCCGAATGGTCGTTTCCTAAAGTCATTTTCGAATACCCTACCAAAATTATGTTATAGGAACAGCTTATATACATTTACTTCATTACTGAAATCCGTTTCTTGCATTGTCTTTGAATCGCTTTCATGGTATCGCATTTACATCAAGAGGTAACTGTCTTTAAGTTCCTCCATATCTCATCTTGTGTTTTATACTCGTTTATTGTAAGTTCTCATTTGTGACCGTTCTGACCGTTTAGCGTTTTGATAGGTCTTCATTTGAACATGACAAGTTAATTAGTTTATTAGCTCGCCTAAGAATTAGAACAAGCCGCCAGGGAGGCGAAAATCTAATCATTTGGAGGTCTCATCAAGACCTACACACCTACCAAATATCGCAAGACCAGCTATCTAAGCCTTCTGGAGTTTATATCGTGTTTAAACACACACACACACACACACACACACACACACACACACACACACACAGAGAGAGAGAGAGAGAGAGAGAGAGAGAGAGAGTGACAGACTGAGAGACACACACACACACAGACACACACACACACACACACAGAGAGAGAGAGACTGAGAGACTAGCTGAGAGAGACACACACACAGACACACAGACACACACACACGCACACACACATTGCTATGCGTAATGTTACTAACTTTTAAAAAGACCTCGCCTTTCAAGTAAGAACCATAATTGTGATTTATTGTAGAACAATTCTCCTTTAGCTGCCCACCCATGTGTGACAGCTATATATTCTTCCAGGAAAATAAGAACACATGACCATACAATTACATGAAGTTAAATTATATACTGTTATTTAAAAAGAGACAAATGTGCAACATCGTATGTGCTTTACTCAGTCATTTTAGTTATGGAAAATATTCAGAAAACAAAAGGCTCAATCCTTTATAAGTATGCACCAAAATTTGAGTTGTACGCGTGTTTCTGACTCAGAACCAAGCACTGTATGTTATTGACCGCCCGTCTGTCATGTATATTCACGGGATATGTCTCCTGTCTGCCGTACACATACATTAACCTGTACCAAGTGGAAAGTGTTGGAAAAGTCAAACCGCCTCCCCAGAGAGGGTATGTATGTGGGTTTTCAGGCAGCTCGTTTAATCTAGATGTTACGACCTTTCCTTGGAGTGTGAAAAATACCATTCAATCAATGATTCTTCTACTTCCAGGATTTAAAAAGTGAATGAATGAATGAATGAACTTTGTCGCTCGACATTTGTATACGGTATAATTTACCTCAGTAATGACAAAGTAACCAATACACTAACATTTGCCTATTCTAAAAACTATGACTACAGACTACTAATTCTTTTACTCCCAAATTCATATAGCTTTGTTTACCATCATACATCAAATCTAATATTCGCACACACACTCACGCGCGCGCATGCAAAATAACACAGATATTTTTTTGTTGTATATTAATAAGAGACATGATTACGGAAAAGACAGGCGATGTCGGAAGGTTGATGTATCCGGTCTAATCCGTCACTGTCGTGGGGAAGTTACGACCGGAATCCGGAAAGCCGGATAATGAAGCCATCCGTTTTAAAACCTAGCTGCGGCATGAAATCGGCTGAAGCGCAGAGAACATCGCGATTTTAAAGCTCCTGTCAGGAAGGAAACAAAAATCAAGGTGTTTCAATCTTGGGTTGATTCAATTTTGCTATACGACTGCGAGTCGTGGAGTATGAACGCTTCGCAGGTCAGGAAGCTGGATGGCACCTTCTCCAAGATGCTACGGTAATGAATGAAAGACCTTTATTGTACGTTTGTGCTCTAACAAGCTAAGTACAGGTCATGGATAAACAGGGAAAAAGAATACAGCAATGACACTTACATACTATACAAACTAATGTGATCTACTATTTACAGGTTCAGCTTCTTCTCGCTTCTTGACGCAGTTAAAGATGTACGAACATATTGAGCTAATTATAACGATACATGGTTTGTCAAGTTTCATGAGGAATTCGAATTTTTCTATTCTGTCTAAATGTCTAAAGCTTGGGAACTTATCTATTACATAAGTATAGAGGGAATCCCTCTCATTTCTATATAATGTGCAGTCAACTACAAATAC